AGATGTGTACCCCTAAAATCGACAAGTGCTCATTACACTTTGTGTTCCCCTAATTAACACGACCGTGCCAATGCCTTTGTGATTGGTGTCTGTGGAATTCCTTCTTTGAACCAAGTTTTTATTTAGAGTGACAGAGTATTACTGTCCATCACAAGCTTAACAAATTAGATTAAAGATCTGATGGACCTCAGACTGGAATGTGGTCGTAGGTTCCCTTGACTGGTGGTGATGTGATGTTAAAAGGACAGCAGTTCTTTTAACAGAGGTTTTCATGGGAAGGTTCAAAGAAAGAAGTGTGGGCATAAAGTGTGAGGGGAGGGGTTAGTTGTAGGTCAAAACATCAATCAATGTCAAAACATCAATCAATGTTGGACAATGGTAAGAGAAGATGATCTCCATCTGTGGAGTTTTGTCCCTGCAAACTCAAAGCTGTTATATTACAGTACACATTAAAAAGTATTTTCATAAATTCGGGCACTCTCTGTGTCCAGAAAACATTCATGTAAGTTACTGAAAACCTTAGCTAGGTACAGACCAACACAGTGATAAAATGTGCTTTTTATACCATTGAAAATAATGGTAATGGTAAAGAACAAAACATAAAGAGTTGAAACGAAAGGCCGTCACATTTTAGTGCTTCATAACTACAAAACCCTTGGCCTCACAATACATTCAAGGCTATTTTCATCCCTGAATCATGTTAAGTCGCAGGTACAGTAGTATGAGCAGAAAAACTCAAATACTTCTAGCTACATCTTTTACTCTAAGTGTTCCCACGTCATCTGAACGACGTGATTCCCCCGCCTCCCCGGACAACTCAAGTGGCTGGTATGTAGTGTAGATTGAGTGACTGTCTGTTGTCTGCGTTTATTACAGTATAATGAGGGGCCCTATATCAGGTCTAACATCATTACTGTCAGTTCGTTATAAGCTGCAATACTTGATCTCATAGGCCTTTCAGCAGCATGGAGGCCATTTCCTCTGCATTGTGCCAGTATGAGTTTATGTCTTTTGAGTTATTGCCTTTTGACCTCTAAATCTCTACAGGTCAGAGCTAGAGACTTAACGATTAAGGCTTACAACAAATAATCTGTCCTTCAGTTATCAGCATACTTAATTGTTTTTTCAGTTCCCATGCTGCTCAGTCTGTTTGGCCTGGGATGTTGAACAGCCTGGGCACACACTGATTAGGGTAATGTGGCAGCTACACATAGTCAAAGTCAGATTCTTCACGATTCTCTCTTCCTAAAGCACACAAGTAAATCTGTCTGGAATTCCACTGACTTCTCCTATTTAAGGCTAACCCAAACTCAGGTTGTTATGCAGCGGCCCTTGTCCGATTGGGCCTGAATAATGCAGCCCAGCAGGGCCACAGGCAGGTCTTCTGTTAAAGACGCCTAATCTGCTAATCCACTCTGTTTTCATGTGGCTGGAGCATTTGTCGTCCTGCTGCCCTCTGGCCGGCTTTATACATGGGGAGTCCTGCCCCTTGTCAGATGCCCCATCCTTACACCTCCATACACCAGTGTGTGAGCAGTGATAAATGGTAAAAGTGTGCACACCCCTCCCAATTTTCCTCCCCCTCTCAGCCTGCATTCCTTCTCTAATGAGACCACACCACCATCTCCCCTCTCCTCCCACCTTTGCATTCATTAAACACTGCATGTCTGCAAAGAAAACCCTAAGTTACCTAAACAAGTTTCTTCTTTTTCCAAAAACATTTTTCTGATATACACAAAAAAAGCAGTTTACCTGTTTACAATATATTTGTCATTTTCTGTTGTAAACGGTTGATTTCATTCTGTTTTTCCCACTATGCAGGTGGTGCTATGAACATATTTGAATGCCTTGTGCTATACAAATTATCTTTTACATATGAACATAAAACAGCTGTTATATCGTCAATATTTCATATTAACAGTATTTGCTTAAATCACTATGAATGAAAACTTTGACATATCTTTCCATCATTCCATCATTTTGATTGGTCACAAAAAACAGATGTGAAACACAAACATCCACCAGCTGTTATTTGCTTTTCTGGAACAGAATGAGTAATGAAAAGTTACAAATCCCCAACTCCCATGTGATTGACCTTTAAACATTTTAATAGATTGACTGCCCTAATAAATACAAAAAATATTCCACCCTAATGATACATTTTTAAAATAGTATATTCATCTTTGGTTTAAATCAAAAGGTTGTTAATCTCGTATTGAAGAGTTTGTTTTGTAAAATGCACGTGGACAGCGGAATACTGCTGAATACTGCTTATGACTGACAGCTGGATCATGCACCAGAAACTCTAACCTGTGGCAGCGCTGATGGAGTTTACCGACAGCATCTGGTTCATGTTTGAGGACGTGGTGCTGAGGTTGACTTTGTTGTAAGTGTGACAAGATGGCAATATCACAGAATCATCACTAACTTGGCAGCTATGACAGAACAGTTGCTATGTGTTATGGGTAATTCTGGCACTAAAGTCTGATGAGACAGAACCTCTAACGCTGTACAGCGGTTTTTACAGATACTCAGTGTTCTGTCTACAAGGCAGAACAGGTGAATTCTGCAAAGATTTTCAGCACCCACTGTATCATCAAGCGAGCTGTCTTAACTCTGTCTGTCTATCAACTTTATTTTTCATATGGTTAGAATAGTTTACACAAGGCTGGGTTATATAAGGATCCCAGGTCATTAATGAAGAATGTCTATGAACTGATACCACATGTGCATCTGTCCTGTGGTTTCTCAGTCCCTAAATCTCACCAGGGAGAGATGACAGGCCAAAGATCCTCCTCCAAAGCATCACCAGACAACCTGGCTTAGAGGCTAAACATTTCCAGTGGTAACATGCAGCCTAGCAGCACGTCCGTCTATACTCTGAAGAAAACATCACAATTAAATGCAATAAGGAAAACAGAATTAAAATACTGTCAATGCTGTTTCTGCAGTACAGTTTTTAGGAAGTTGCATAAAAATGAATAAAGTATGGCAGGGTTAGATATGGACATTTCCCCTGGACCCTAGACACTCCCTGTGCCTCAGAGAGGTTCAGGGAGTGTCCTTAATACAAACAGTTCATCCTATTTATATAAACGCCTGTGTGGGCTCAGTTAGGACACACTACTGTCAATCAGGCGCAGAAATATACTGACTTACATTGCAATTTCTTTCATTTGTTTTACAGTATTCACTGTATTGGCAGGAGACAGAAATGGATGTGAGACACAGCATGAAACGAAACATTTAGAAATAGGCTGTTACTAAACCTGCTTCTAACGTAGCTTGCACCATGAGTCTCAGTATCGTCTGGGGACAAGGAGACACCTGCTCAGGTCTGCGGGGGAGGGGGGATCGACCACAAACTGTGATGGAGCCACATGAGGTGGGGCGAGGCTGTTACTGTTTCTGCCCTGCTGAGATCTAAAACTGTAACTGGTCTGTTTTTGGCGCAGTACTGTTCCCAGTATTAAGGTAGATTATTTATTTATACTCAGTACAGCAACAGGTTAAAACAGGGCTGTTACTCAGTGGAGCCTAAGGCAGAATTTTTAAGTTGTACCTATGTTTAATATGTGCTGTGGAAAATTAACAAATTTCAAAGAATTGGTCCAAAAACTATTATTTATTTATTGCAAATATATGTTTTTTTGTTCAAAAGTTCGTAACAGACAGAACAATAAAATTGCGAGGTGGTAGCAGATGGCTATGAAACTGAGCTGTTGAAGATCTTTGTTAGTGTCTTCCTTCAATTCCTGCCAGTATATCAGCATTGTCTTCAACTAAACAGGAGTGCATTTTTAGCAAATTTAAACTAGAATATGATTATATTTAATTACTGACATATCACTGACATATATCGTTATGTCAGAGAAATAGTTATAAAAAAATGTTAAGTACAAAATGTATATCCAACTTATTTGTGTGAGATGTGTGTTTAAACAGCAGGGGATGTCCTGGGGTTTGTGGTACCTGGTCCGTGGAAATTGGTTGTAAATTGGTGAATTGCTCTGATGTGTCTTAAACAGTTCCAGCTCTCTTCTCAGCTGTTTCTTGTGCTGATTTAAATCGTTTCTCTTTTTAAATGAAGATCTTCTTCTTCTACATTAAATAACTGTGATTAGCCATCAGACCACAAATCAGCCTCACGGGTCCATTCAAAACACACACAGCTGGTCCAACACTGATTTCCAATTCTGTCTAAAAGGAAATATAGAAAATATGTATTTGACGCGTGGTACAGTAATGGAGAACCTGGCCCTCCTGCCAACTCACCACATGAAATTTAGTAGAAAAATGTTGTTGTTAAATTCTTGTGCATGTGCTCATTCTCCACCATGTGCCAGTTTGCTCTTGTCCTGTCTTGTGGACCAGTGTGGAATGTCAGCTCAGGCTGCCATGCTCTGCTGTAAGCCGTGAACACGGTCTGCCAAGGCTCTTTCATCGTACGTGGCAGCCAAATGGCAGCTGGTGAGACTGAGGGGTTTTTCTGAGCTGTGTTTGTCTCACAGGCAGAGGGGAAACACGCGGTTCCTTCTCAGGGTTTTCTTTCCTTCCCATGCTTTTGTTTTCCCTCTACAGATTTGGATTTGTTTTTTGTAAAGACTAGCTGTTGTGGGTATGATGATGGAAACGAGGAACCACAAGGGAAAAGGAAGAGTGTGGCTGTTCACGAGTAGTCGTAGAATCACTTGCCAGTTTTAAGACCATAACCTTAACACTGAAGGTGTCTTCACACTGAAATCAGTTATTATTTGTTTTTGTTCTTTGTTAAGGTAATGATCACTACCAACAGAACTCTGATATCAATTAAATATTGGACTGTATGATGTTGGTTCAGTCCCATCCCACACTGGTTTCCTCAGTGTGGACCCCAGAAACTGGGCCAAGCCCAGTACTAAATAATAAGTACATCTTTTACAAAACTCAAGATAAGAAAATCAGAAATGTGGTTTCAGGTCACAGCCACGCAAAAGTATTTCTGAGCTGGCAAAGCTCTTGTAGACCACTTCTGGCCCATATCCAACTCAAATAAATCTGTCACACAGAGGAATGTCACTTGGGTGGTCCGTTCATGGTTGCCAAGATCTGGGCTGCACACTGGCCACAAAATTGCCACAACGTCCCGTAAGAATAGTCCAAAAAAACAAAAAAGTTGTCAAGACATTAGAATTAGACGTGGATTCCAACATTATCAGGTCTAAGATCGTTGCATCTTTGCCAGCTGCACTGTATTTTACATGGTTTAAGAAATAAATAAGAAATGTGGCCTAAGTATCATACAAACTTTGCCACAAAACATACAAAAGACGTGAATGAGAATTCTTATTGCCATTTTTTCTCACCTTTGAAGACAAAATATTTGCACAGTGTGTGTAATTAAAAAGGAAAGTTAGCAGATTATACCTGTAACCTAAAGACTAGTGGCTGTCTATCATGTCTGTTTCATTGTTGGATTATGGGAGAAACGTGCCACACCTGTAGAAGACTGAAAGGACCTGGCAGTCATCTTACACAAAGCCAGGATACAGGCAAACTGGTGACCTTGATGAAAAACAATATACTAACCACTACACCACACACAGGGTGGAGGACCCTTTTTTTAAGTTTTTTGAGGTGATAAAAAAAAAAAATTGGCACAATCTTTTTAATTTTTTTTAATCATATGGATTTATCTAAAACCAATGTTTCCCTACCCATTTTGGACATTTTGGTGAGTAATAAATGCTGAAAGAAAAGTTTGACCTTGAGCGTTTCCTTCCAGATATTTGGAGAGACGGAGCCTGTGCGGATGACATCTGAGGGCTCTGACTGTCGCTGTAAATGCATCATGCGTCCACTGAGCAAGGATGTGTGCCTGCGGCTAAAGACCGGCAGTGTGCGTGTAGAGGATGTCTACACGGTGGAGACGGTCAGTTCTGGGTCAGACTGTAAGTGCTCATGCACCGCACCACCATCCTCCCTCAACCCCTGTGAGAACGAGTGGAGGATGGAGAAGCTGAAGAAACAGGCACCCGAACTGCTGAAGGTGAGCAGAGGGAGGGGAAGTCTATCACAGCATTATATTTCAGGAACAGCAATTTGACTCTGTAGAGTTAATATACAGTACCTGTAATATGGCTTCACTGTAATCTTGATATTACTTAACAATGTACGATTAGACTTGAAGACGTGTTAATATTTGGTTCACACTCACAATTAGAATTCTTAGATGAAAGTGGGATTGACTTCTAGAGGTTAGAAATCTGAATACAGAATTCTGAAAATATTTTTTATATTCTTTGAGAAAAGTGATAAATCTAAACCCAATGACTTCTAAACCAATATCTTTTTTTTTCTTGTACTGTTATAGCACAGGTGGTTTTATTCAGACTCACCAAATCCATCATAATATGAATGTAACGCACTGTGTCCCTCCAGTCACTCCTGATGACCTTTTCTTAGTTCTAGGTCATCCGTATTATTGTGAACACGTTGGCAGATCTTTTACACTTGCAGTACCTAATCGTACGCAATTGTTTTTCACTTGTTATAGCAGCACGTATGTGCATTGACACCATGTTACAGATGTTATATATGTCGGCACTTTAAGCTATAAATCATTCCAACCTCTTAAGGAAATGATTACATTTAAAAGGAAGCTTGAAAAGTAATAATGTAATGGACCACAGACTGAAAACAGTCATCACAAGATTACTTAGTGATGGCTCTTTTCAAACAGAAGCACATAGATCTCTCAGGGTTGTTCCTCCGACTGGTAAATGATCACTGTGGTTTTTTTATGGCAGCTCCAATCAATGGTGGATCTCCTCGAGGGAACCCTTTACAGCATGGACCTAATGAAAGTGCACTCCTACATCAACAAGGTGGTGTCACAGATGAACACCCTGGAAGAGGTAAATCATGATTATCATGATCATATAAATCAGGGGTCTGTCCCCTTTAGCTCCCGCTCCTGGTTCGGGGTCCAGTCCCGGTACGTAGGTCATTTGCCGCAATAGGGCACAATGTACTTCAGTTTAACTTATTTCATTCAAAAGGAATATCCCTCTCCTTTTTTCATTAAGAGATAATTGTGCAATGTTTCAAGACAATAGGTCATTTAGACTCTGATACCAACAGAATAAAGTCTAAAAGATTTTTTATTTAGAAACATTTAATGATTCTTCAACTGTGTTGCGTTATTACCGGTCTGCAGTAAAGGCTGATACTGACCGACCAGTCCTTTGTACAAAAAAGTTTGGGGACCCCTCATGCAAATTATGAAAAAAAAACTGAATTAGAACGCTAAAAAATCATCAAAGAGAAAATCTGATGAAACCAGTCAGTAGTGAGAAGTTGCCAGAAGATGATTTTACTCCTAAATATCTCATCAAGAGTCTTTTGTCTGTTCCAAACAGACAAGAGTGACAGTGCCAAATGGAGATTCAGCATTTATCACATTTGTTACAGACCATCAAGACGAACTTGACGCGGGAGAATGAGTTTGTGAGAGACAGCATGACCAGCCTCACCAACCAGTTCAAGAGATACGAGAACTACTCCAACATTATGATGAGTATAAAGAAGGAGATCTCCAGCCTGAGCCTGCAGCTGCTCCAGAAAGACTCCTCTGAGACCAAAGCCCAGGTCAGGTCTTGTATGAACTCTAACAATCCTCTACCATTAAACATATCATACATGTCATACATTGTGAGCCATTCTAGGTCTCTGTCAAAGGCAGCACATACATAGTTAGATATGCATGTAATATATTTACATGGGTCAGGATTTTCCACTGTACCTTTTCCCCTTTCACAAAATATAATTACCTCTGCTGTGCAACATGAACTGGTTCCTTCCAGAAATAATTTGTTTGGAAGCACCTTCACATTCCCCTATTTCCTTCAGTGATTTCTGGTCCATACGAGTCAAGGACATAGCGATGTCTGTGGTGTTTGAATAAAGGTGGAAAAACCATACATTTTTCCTATAAAGGCAATTTTTAATTTGTATTATTTTGGCACAGGTATCATAACCTGTAGTTATGTTATCAAACAGCTACGTATTGCATCCAAGTACTATTATATCTGTTTACCTACAGGTCACCACTGATGGGAAACCTGTAATGGCAGCCAACAAAAAGACGCCTGTGGCCAAAACACCTCTGAAAGCTGTCAAAGAAAGGGTCATCAAGCCCAAGAAAGAGGTCATTAAAGCTGGGAAGTCAGTGAAGCCTGTTCCAACAGCCAAAGCCAAGGTCGTTGGCCACCAGCCTGGTGTGGTGCGTGGCATAACATACTACAAGGCTGCCAAGTCTAGCGACGAGAACGGAGAAGGTGAGAGATTGTAGCTCATTTGAATCTCGGTCTCTTAGTGTTGTTGTAACACAAGCGTGACTGAAGGCCCTAGTTGTACCACTAACCTTAAGCTCGGGCGTAAAGCAATAAAAGATAGAAAATCCACAGACTGTGGCACGTGGCCTCAACACTAGACAAACTCCTGTTGTTTTTAGCAAAGCTGCTCCGGTCGGTGTGGGCTTGGATTGGATTTCTGCTGCACGTTCATTGAGCAGGAAAGCCAAAATCTTTTATTGACAAAATAACACTGGGCCGATGGAATGTTGTGTCAGTGGAGTGCTGCCATGTTCATGACATGCTTCTGCCTCACTCCTTACAACAATGCTGGGGGAACCTTTATTGAGCAGGAAAATATTTCCTTTGTTCTCTCCAATCCTCTTAAGGTCTAGGTGAACAGAAAGGTCCACTGCATTTGTGCATGCACACACACGCACACACACAGTAAAGGCTGTCAAAGCCTGTGTTTTAGCACATATATACATCTAAGCTATTTGTGCTAGTGCATAAAATAAAACCAAAACCAAAAACTGTTTTTATGCTTTTATTTGTACATTAAAGACTAACATATACAAGTTAAAGATTGATTTGATCAACTTGTTACCATCAGTTCTGTTGACGACCTTAATGTTCTAAAAATACTTTGTCTGCTCTTTGTGAACCATTTGATCCATCAGACAGGTTCAAATGTTGACTTTTGATTATTATTAATAACTGCCTTCGAAGGTCTGCACTGTCTTACTGTAAATGTTGTGGTCATTTTGAAACCTAATACACACGTACACATATTTTGCACATATGTCAGGCATAAACGTTGTTTGTCTTAAAACAAATGCCACATTTTCATCACTGTACCACACTATATTAGAGCCCACTTTGATCAGTACAGTGATAAAAGTGGAACAAGCTGTTTCCCAGTCTCACTGGACCCAGCTGGTCGCCCGGTCCTTAAACAATTAGCTAATTACTTCTTTCAAAGGCTCATTCCGCTTATTAGCTGCACTTAACCAGGGACACGTTGGTCGTGACGGATTAATTGCTTTGCTGTGGGTGAAGGAACGCATGAAGACTTATGCAGTTTTGAAAAGACGTACTGCTCGCGCTGTATCCTGAAATTCCCCTGCAGCCTCCACGCATTCATGTCGTGTCAGGCAGGCCTGCTGTTCATCGTAGCATAGCCGTAATCCCATCACATCTGTCTGGCAGCACATGGACGTGGGAGTACGGGGAGTAGAAAGCGAGCAGTCGCTCACTCTGCTCAGATTTATCTTTGATTTTTTTTTCTTACATAAGAGAAGTAAATTCTGACCTTTGAAACCAGGGATCAAGACTCTTTTAATCTATGGTGGAATTAATTTTGTGTATTTGGACCATCAACGTACGCAAGCATTCTGTCACTGTCAATAAATGAGGTCACAGATGTGCCATGTCGAACCACATCTAAAGCAAATGTTATTAACTTGTTCCAAATGGTCGGACGCGGCCCTTTGATGAGGAAGCATGGAAGACTTGATGATGTTGTACTGCATTGTTTCTTAAACCATTTAAAAAGTGAAACCCATGTGGTCAGTGGTTAGAAAAACAAGGAAGTCTGAACGAAATTGTGTCTTAACTTTGGTTACTGTCCAACATCAGTCAGTACTTTAATGAGAATGTGAAATCATTTTTGCTTGGCTTTGCTTCACTAACAAAATGCAAAAAGAAATGAGGCAAGAGAGAAAAGAATCTTCATATTTTTTATTGTTCTATCCTCATCTGCTGCGGTGCGCACAACTCTGATAAATGGCAAAACGTTGTTAGCTAGTTTTTTAAATCAAGACGATGCCCACTGAATGTGTAGTTGCTGAGAAAGTATACATTTTAATTTGGCTATGTCATTTTCAGTCAGATACAAAATGACAAGATGAAATAAAAATGTAATCATATTTTTCTTAGGTTTGATTGAGAATCAGTTGCATAGCGCTGATGCCACAGTGTAATGGTGTAATAATTTAGCTGCAGTCCTTGGTGACATTCTCGTACTGATGCAGCATTGTGCTGGTGTTAAAGCAATATTAATGGGTCACTCAGACAGGTTTTACACTCCATCCGTCTTCAGCAGCCAATACCAAATATACTACGAGGTTTCAGTGAACTGGCATTCTTTTTCATTTAGTTGGTAATAACGTTAAAAGAAAGTGAAAAGCACAGAGAAGGCAGAGAACAAGACAGAAGTAAATCCAAACGATTGCTGACAGGCACAGCCCTGGTGGAGTCTCCATATTTATATGAAAATGTACAGCCAAGAAATTACAACACATGAAAACTGAGCTGAAATGATACAATTGAAATAAAGTGATTATGAAATGCACTTGGTTTCCAAATGGTCCTGTCTTATATCATGTGGCACCATCAGGATTAAGAATTTCCTCAATGTGTCTAGGAACCACAGGGGGTAGTGCTGAAGCAGGAGACTGAAGCAGAAAATAGTTTAAAACTTGTAGTGTTCTTCAGAACGTGGGGTTTTTGGAGTATTTTCCAAATACTGTAAGTGAATAACTGTGTTATATTTGGTTCTACCAGAGTAGTTGTAGTATATATTATTCATCTTTTCTGAATTTATGTTAAGAGGCAGTGGTGGCTTGGTGGTTAAGGAAGTGGACTTGGGTCCAGAAGGTTCTAGTCCACCAGCTTCCAAGTTACCACTGAGCTGCTCTGAGCATGGCACCGTCCCCACACACTGCTGCCTGGGCGCTTACAGCTGCCCATTGTTCACTTATGTCCCTGTATTTACTCCCCAGACCACGCTGTCCATAGCTACACGGTCCACCACGTCACCGGAAGTCGGTCGGAGGACGGAGGAGAAGAAACGATCCTCGAAACTGTTGAAGCCTCGGAGGCTGACACCATCAACGCCATGCGACCTCCCACTGCCGCAGCTACCACTGCCTCCACAACCACCACTACCAGCACCACCACCCCAACGACAGCCATTCCAACTACCACCACTACTACACCCACAACTACCTCCGCCACCACCACTCGTAGACCAGTGTCTTTATCTGAAAAACCAGCTCCGACCATTGTGCTGACCCTTGACAACTCCAACAATAACAGTCTGCCCACTCTCCACAGAGCAGGTAGGAGGCTTCACCTGACCAATGAATGCTATAACAGTTCACCACTGCTGTGAAACTGTGAACTGACCTTCACAGGAAATCAGTCTTACATTTGATGAAAGGTCATCACCTGCCGGTGCCCCCCCCCCCCCCCCTGCAGGGGCACTCAGTGTGGGATCAATTAAGTTCAAAATATTATTTAATTATTATTCATGGAACGGTGCAATGTGATTTGGGTGGCGACTGCTGCCCCCGCGACCCGGTAACGGATAAGCGGATGAAAATGGATGGATGGATATTATTCATGGATGATAATAAAACATGAACCATGAGGCCCATTGGCTGTGTTTTTCAACCTTGGGGTCGCTCCACGTAGGGTCACGTAGGTCAAATTAAAGAGGGTAGCCTGAGATTGTTTTATAATTATGATAAAAAACACTCCCACACAACTGTAAAACTCTGATCTATAACATACATAAATGTAATTTGAGTTCAAACCAAATATATCTGAGCTGGCACTGAACAATGAAATGTCACTTTGTGCACTAATCTGGCTATTCTGTATTTAGAAATGTGTAATGTCAGAATGGTGTCACCAGCCAAAGAGGGTTGGAAACCACTGCACAAGACATTACACAATCCATATGTGTATCAGTAAAGGCTCCCAAATTGGCACGTGGATCAGGTGACATCTGTGGTTAACAATACAAAAATAATTCTTTTGCAACAAAATACCAAGTCCATGTGTCTACAGCTCTGCTGTTCTGAACCCACTCAGGGTGAGGCTGCTCTGGGAAGTATAATCATGAACTCCGTTGATATAACGCCGCATTAATGCAAGGCACTCGGTCCCATATGTTTTTAAGGCTGTGCTTGTTTATTCCAGGGAAAATCCTCAACTGTGAAGGAACTCTGGCCTCCATTGAGCAACCAGAGAAGCAGCACAGTTACGGGCGGAACGAAGGAGCCTGGATGAAGGATCCCCTGGCCAAAGACAACAAGATCTACGTCACTAACTACTATTACGGTAACAACCTGGTGGAGTTCCGCAACCTAGACAACTTTAAACAAGGTGAGATTTATTCAGTTTGTCCTCTACATTTATCAAACGCAAGTGGTTGGAAAAATAGTTTTGAAGACCTCAATCTCTGTACCTACGCATGTTCTGTTGTTATTCATATACAGTGTTGACAGCGTTTATACAAAGAAATTAGATTGAAAAACTCAGGCTACATTGACACCAGACATTTTTTTTGTAAATACATATGTTTTGTTTTACATACACCCCCAAATCTTCTGTGTGTTCAATGATACTATTTTCAGACTCTTCTACAGTAAATTCTCAACAGTTATTAGTCTTTCTGTTTCTGTGTACACCCCCCATATTTAAAGAGGTTGACCTTTTTTTCTATAACCATGATTAATCGTGATTAATTACAATCATGATCACCAATCAGTTATGATCATAATCTATCATAATTTATCGTATTTTTAGTCCACAGCTACCCTGTAAATAGTCAGATAAAAAAATTGTAATCATTTGACAGCCCTGGTCACATTATGCTATCACCAGTATAATGCAACTATAAATATAATAAATTGCTTCCTGACTGACATTACTGACATGATGAAGATTTAAAGTGAAGACAAGCATGGTCTGGCAGTCTAACTGCAAAGGCTGCTGTGTAGGAAGCTATCGATATACCAAATGTTCTACACTCAACACGCTACAGATACTAAACTTCAAGACAGAACAGAACCCTTAGCCATGTTCTCTACATTGACAGCCTTAACACTGATTCATGCTGATTATCCAGTGAGCTCAGTCAGCTCTGATGGGGTCTGTGGAATGCAGAGGTCATGCCCGCTGCACGGCTCCAGTGGGTGGGAAAAATCAACTCCCTGAACATCCATGTCAGCTGAGGAATTGGATTACAGTCTCTGAGAGAGTTAAGATGATCTGCCCCCAAAGGATCCAGGCTGTTGATCTAGAAGTGTTTGGACAATGGGCTTTCTTACTGGGGAGACCCCCCCATGGTGCAGCGAGCTCACAGCTGCGTACGGTGGTCTCGTCCTGTCGTTGATTGGTGGTGGTGCCTGCTGTTTCCCTGACGCGATCTGTCCTCTCTGGGGACAGTGGAGATGGGATTATGGAGTGTGGGTTGACCTAAGGGATGAGGTGGTGGCAGGAGTTTCAACAACACATTGTTTTTGTCTCTTTTCTGTCATTATTGTGATCTCCATCAGACTTCCTGAGGTCAGAAGGTTAAGATAGCAGACAGACAGACAGACAGGATGTTGTTATAAAGTGACACTTGAAAGTTCTCCAAAGTCTTTTTGGAGTGTCACTTACAAAAGCAGCCAGTGTCTATGAGGTCATGTGTTGTACAAACATTGTCTGTTGTCCTCACAACAGATGTCAAATCTAGAAAAGGAATGTGTTAAATTAATCAGATTAAAAATGTTATCGTTTGACCTCTTTTACACACGTTGAAGGTTTTTATCACTTATTAATTTCAAAATATTTAGTTTTTATATTTATTTAGTTTTTTTGGACTTATTACAATCGTAATAGAATCTTATGTCAAATCCCTTTAAATAAATTCCTCAAGTTAAATGTATTACAAATGGGTTAAATGTCATGTTGCCTTTTATCAAAGCACCCAGCGCACTTTTAGATTTTTATTCCTATTGTAGAAAATCCTCTTATGTTTAAATCCAATCTTTTTCAATGACTAAAAACTAAATAATTTTTCAACTTCATAAGCAGGAAATGAATGTTGTCTTTCCAGAGACCATTTTTCTTAATTTTTGGAAGAATAAAATATTTGAGACAGCACATAGAAGTAATTCTCTCTGCTTGTTTTATTGGTGAAAACTGCCCACCACACCAGTCCAACCACATTAGACACATTCATAAAATAGTTTGTCAAAAATTCATCATGATGGGTGTCCCATTGAAGAAAAGACAGTCCAACAAAAAGACATTACACCACATTAAAACAACCCTTAAATCAAGAGGATTATAGAGAAATAAAGCATAATAAACCACAATGGTGAAACACTAAACATTTACTCATAATTGACTGGTAACTTGGGGAATGACTAATGCTGGATTTCTATCAAATCCTGTAAATCATTACTTTTTAATCAGCATGAAAACACAATTCTGATACATTTAAATCCATTTCTAACGTCTAGAGAAAAGTTTCAGTTCTAAACATGTTACCGGTGGTTTAAAAAAGCCTTTTAATAAAAACTAAAAGCTATGTTACTGAAATGTTGCTGACTGAGAAATTGGGAAACATTTCTGATGCTAACTGTGGTTGACTTTCCTTCATGTTTCTTCAGCTAATCCCTACAAACAAACAGGATGGAGGTGGGATTTTAAAGTGAAAGCAAACAGCAACCATGTGCCTTGATACCTGCTCCAATCACAGTGACAATTTATCAGTTAAATTTTCTCTCATGAACCAACATTCTTGGTGAATAACATGGTAGATTTATGGTAGTGTTATTTATTTACCACCTCACCCACCTCTTGTCAGCTGACTGTGCCTCCTCAGACCAGAAACAGGGTTTGGTCAAATGAAAAATGTACACTATGCAAACACTTACTTGTGGTGAGATTAGGAAATAATCACAATTCACAAGTCATGCTGATTATTAGACTCAGATTAGAATCAGAATGCATTATCGACACAGTGCAACTGCACTGCAGTACTTTAACCTGTACCTAATCCAAAAATATTTCCTTTTTTTTTCCAGGGCGCTGGAGCAACCTCTACAAGCTTCCATATAACTGGATAGGAACAGGTCATGTTGTTTATAATGGAGCCTTTTATTACAACAGAGCTTTCACCAAAAACATCATCAAGTATGATCTGAGGATGAGATACGTGGCCGCCTGGACTCTGCTGCATGATGTGGTTTACGAAGACACCACCCCGTGGAAGTGGAGGGGCCACTCGGACATTGACTTTGCAGTGGACGAAAGCGGCCTGTGGGTTATTTACCCATCTGTGGACTACGACTACAACCAACAGGAGCTGATTGTCATCAGCAAACTGGACCCCGGAGACCTGTCTTTGAAGAAGGAGACCACCTGGAGGACAGGCCTCAAGAGGAACTCGTACGGGAACTGCTTCATTATCTGCGGCGTCCTATACGCCGTCAATGAATACAACCAAAAAGAAGGCGAGATAAACTACGCTTATGACACGCACACCAACAGTGACGCCATCCCACGCTTGCCCTTCACCAACGAGTATGCCTACACCACCCAGATTGACTACAACCCTAAAGAGAAGGCCTTGTATGCCTGGGACAATGGCCACCAGCTGACATATCAGGTGAACTTTCTGGACCAGTGAGCACAGCCCATTTGTGCTACACATAAGCTCACACTAGGCCTGCCAGTGTGGCACCTATGTGGAAAGACGATAAGGTATTTAAGTTCCGACAAACAGGCATATTTGACTCAACAGGACAGAGGATGAATCTCCAGCAGCATTACATCATCACATAACGCTATTCAAACACCTGACCTCACTAAATACCAAACAAACGTGCCTCAAATATGTATTATGTCACTAGAATGGAGAGTTAACAGCAACGTAAATAATCTAATGGGTTGAGTAGTAATTAATTTGGGTAGAAGTCTGTAAACCCACAGACTTGTGTTCTTTCTTTTTTGTGTTTTTACAATATCCTCAGCAGGCTGAATGATTCCTACAGAAGTTACTGATCAATCAAAGGTTGCATTTTGGATTTCAATGTTGTTGTGTAGATCTTTGCAAGAGAACATACAGATTTGGAACATGACCATGCTGACGCCTCAGAAAAGAGAATCAAACATAACAGAAATACTGTATATGTACAGTATATATATATATATATATATACATATATAGTATATATGAGTACATATATATTTATATATATATATGCTGGTTCAGTGTTTCATTTAAAAAGTAAATAGCAAACAAAGCCTCAATATTTTTAAAATGTCACTTGAAATATTTGATAAAAAAGTACACAGAGACAAAAATCAGGCACAACATTTTTAATGCATGTTCTCAGTAGAATATGTGTATTAATTTGAAGCGCTTAGACAAAAATCACTTGGCCTTTTTGTTGCGTTTACCAAGAAAGGATCTATCATAATGTGACACGTTGATTTTACTATTTTTGTTCACTAGCTCAGCGTAAGCTACATTGCTAAAAGGGCAGTCCAAAATAAAACTTCCTTACTTTTAAGTGAGCTTCATAAGAAGTTGAGGATGAGGATGATTGATCATCCTAGCTCATAGCAGTTAGCCTAAAAGTTTTTTCTGTAAGGCATACTGACAGCTGTTAGCTTAGCAACTAAAGCTTTTAATAGCAGGTAGCTGAGCAATATTGATAAAATATAGATATAATCAGAAAATCTGTAAAAGCGATGCATAACTGCTAATCAGGTTGTACGAACATGAACTCATCGTCATGAAGACATTTGTTTGTATTTATTTTCGGTCTTGAAGCTAAGAGAAGAAGTAATACATTTGTATTTATTTTTTTAACTTCTCAACTTTGGTCAGTGGAAGCTGTTGTTAAAAAGGCTGGGTTTTAAAAGCTTTTCTTTGGTTTGCCTCATCTTAGATACTTCTTTCTTACATTTTTTACTGGCTATTTTAGACTGGTGGTTCTTTGGCTCGGCTTTGATATTTAACTCACCCATGAGATCGTTTCTGCCTCTGAGAAATATTAGTAAAATGTAATTACTTCCTACTTACTATCATTTGTCCATCTGCTAAGAACTTTCACTGAGCACTTTGTTTGCTATTTTAGCCTAATGATGTGTTTTCTATTGGTATTGTTTAAAAGCATGCATTGATAACAGTAACAAAAGCACCTGTAGTATGTTTTGAAGTTTAAGCATTATTTAGTTATATTATTGACCTAAATTTATTTGACATGTAACATAAAGCAACATCAACATTTTTTGTCAAAGTTGGCCTCTGTGTATGTGGGTGTTTCTGGTATTTTAACAGCTTTAGACAACTATGATTGCGAGGTGTTGATCGACTTTAAGATTTGTCATATACATTTACAGAGACATTTACATTTAGAATGGGTTCCAACAATGGGGACATAAAGTGAAAAGATTATACTGCTTATTCAGTTAGTGTTACATATCTACAACTGTGGGCCATAAAACTGAAATAAAAAAATGAACTTTCTCTTAACTCTTTTGAAAGGCTAGGCCAGAATTACAGAATGTGTGCATTACCACCAATGCCCTGCAGGGGCAGACTATGCTAAACTCTGGACTCTTGAAACATACAATTCGGGTAACATTTCCCATGTAATGGTCAGTCAGTGTAGACTCACTTGTTTTGACCATTATACTAAATACTGTGTTATTATTTTAATAAGATATCACAGCTCTACAATGTGTTAGTGACTTAGACATCTTAGACTTAGACATCTGTCAGTGAAATGATTGGATAAAGAAATTAAAAAAATGACACAACAAGAAGGTACTATGTAATCTGTCAGTATCAACACAGTAGTATGGGTTAAAAAACACATCCATCTACTTCCATCAGTGTCGATATCATTAAATCTTTAATGGTGCCCATCCCATAGTATTATTCAAATGCAAGCTTTTTTTTTAATTCTAAAAGTCTTGAAATGTAACCCAACACTTGAATGCAGCTGTGTGTACATCTGCAGCATGAAATAAAAATGTCCATAATAAAAAGAAGTCTGTTGTGAGGATTTTACATCCATCTACAGAGACGCAGAGACATTTAGCCTCCATGGGACCTAACCCACTTGCCCAACCCCTGATGTGGGAATGATGAGATATGACTCAGTTGTTCTAATTTCTGGATAACTGCTCCTCCCATGCGTTATGTTTAGTTCTGGATCAAAGGTCACCGTGCTCCACTTGATCTCAGTTCAAACATACATAAGAACAGGAGAAAGAGTTCTGGGTCATGGTAATGAGGCCATGGCTGTCTGATTTCTTGGCTAGGGGATTTTTTTAAATTTCAGCTACAGTCATGCAACTGTGCACAGAGTGGACTGAGTGAAATAAATCAAGAGCTAAAATGTTGATGGTGTGATGGTATACTCCATGTTGAACTCAATGACCGAGTTTGTTTTTAAAATGCCTGCTTCATCACATTTAACCCAATGATATTTTTTAAAATAAATTATACAGTAAGTGTGTCCAACCATTAACTTTTGTCAGAGAAGAAAAGCTAAACATGGACAATGGATGTCTCCACCAGCTAAGGTGATGAACAGTGACAACTCACATGACCCATGCTGCTTCAGTCAGAACATCTCATGCTATACACAAAGGCTCTTCTGTTACTTAATCAGGACTGAACTGGATCTCATTCAAATCAAAGCGGGGCCTCTCATTCATGAACACGCACCACTGAAATACCCATGCGTCCTTGGGGTGCCAACAATGTAGAGTCTTTGTGTCCCATGTTACATGCTACTATGACAGAATTGCCCTGTGAACTTCACATGCTCGACCGCTTTCTCCTTTCTTTGTGTACAGCAGAATGTTATCATCTAACAGATGATGATAGGATGAAATCATACTGATTGATTACTGATGACAAGTTCAGGATGTATTTGGACAGACAGACAAAGTAGGACAGGAGATTGACTGACAATAAGAGAAAGACAGATTTTCAATTTACGCCACAGGTGCAGATGGCATTCTGTTTTGGGTCCTCACCGGACGGCTGTTCTATTCTGGATGTGCTACAGTGGGTTGTCTGCCTCAACTCCTATATTGTTACACCATTACATCCTTATTAAGTTATTTATTCGTCCTCTAGTTTGTCCTGTTTGTCAAATTCAACCTTTAGCATGTGTAGGGACTTTAATCTGTGACTTCCTTTGTAAAGTGCATGCTTTCTTACACATTTCCTTCTTAATTGCTTTAGCTCAGAGCAGGACAGCGATTGTGTTGGACCAACTTATCAAGTTATAAGCTTAGAGAGTGACCCACCTCACGTATCCCATAAATCCACCGTCCTTCCACTTATCATTGCTCTACACATGGTTGATACACAGGTTGTTATTGAAACCATCCAGAAGCTTTAAAAAACATTTCAACATGTTTCAGCATGTTTTTGTGTTTTGGGGTATGCTTTTGTATATCGTTCCATATTAATAATATGATAATTTTGATTAGTATATATATATATATATATATATATATATATATATATATATATATATTTATATATATAATATATACACACACACACACTTAGATTCAACAAGGGTGTGTAATTCACACCCTGTTGGTTCTACATACACACATAAACAATTCAAGCTCACATCTGGGCTTCAAGATGAATAATACAGACATAAAGAACAAGCCCACAAGTTCCGTAAAAATACACCTGAGAATAGGAATGAGGTGTGGACTGCAATTGGGTTTCCCACTGCTCAATCTGGTAACTATGGACTTGGACAGAAAATATAGCCCTTGACCTGGGTTTGTAAGTATGGAGAAGCTTGAAGTAATAATAATGTACTGTCATGTGTTGCATCCCACACTCTCCTGTTGGGTTGATTGAGTGCACAACTGGAAGAACTTGTTTACGGGGGAACCATAAGGAAAGAAGTACTAACCATATAACAATAAGTCAATGACAGATGAAAAGAAAAACAGCTGTACATCAGAGAGCAAAACAAAAACAGTCACTGTCCCCCTGCTATCCATACAAACGTCTAACTTTCCAGTCAGGTGTGTACAACAATATTGTTGGGAGCAAATCTAAATTTATTAATAAAGAATATTAAACGGAAACATTTAACATGGTTACTAGGCTTGAATTGCAACTATATGTGGACTTGCCCTCATGTTTGGACAATCTTCTGTCTGATTCCCAGCTTAATTTGTAAAATAAGGCCCAAGGGTTTGATACTTAGTAATAAGCCAAATAGAAAGAGTTTCTCTTCAAGTTTGGGAACTGGCACAGACCTAGTAAGGATGTTCCAGAGGGGGATTTCCTGAGGCTCAGTCCTTTGACTGTAGAATCAAACCGTTGTATGATAAGAAAGGAGGTCACTGGAGACTAGTAAGGAGAAGGAGTAGGAGAGCATGTGTCTGGACCGACTCCTGACAGCGTGAGTCAGAGAAACAGAGATGCTCCCAACAACTGCAAATCTGACATGTGGTGAAGGAATAAAAAGATCAGGCAAAGAAAGACTTTCCACCTTAAATCATCTCATTAGAGCAGTGGTTCTCGAATGGGGGTACATTTTTCAAAAATACCTGTATACTGTCACACGTTGAGGCACAGGGAAGCAGTCAGGACCCAAACGCAGTAGTCATCAGACAAAGTTCCGGTCCAGGTGTTTATTTAAGGGGTCCAACCGAAATCTGTCAGAATCAACAGAAATTGAGTCTTAATTCAGGTAAACCAGGCAGGAACAATGGGAAAACATGAAGCACTAAACACACCTGCAAGTACAAACATAACAGAACCACAACCATGCCAGCACCCATAACCACACAATGACACGACAAAGCCAGACAGAGGAAGAGCAGTATTTATACCTTGGACACAAAGTGACACTAATTAACATAGACCCACTGGACTATGAGTGAGATTAAAAATGATGATTAAAAAATGCGAGAAGTTGTGGCTGTGGTGACAGTTGTACATTACACAGTCCTCAGCATATAGTTTATTAAAAGTTTATACACAGGAAGAAGCATCCTTTATATTTTGTGCATATATACTGTGGTGTTTATGGGAGTTTGGTCGACTCCGTGAAGTGAAGAGGAAACATAGTTTGATGTTTCCTCTTTACTTCATTACATAAATATAATTGTACAGTGAAAATCAACAGCTGTGCAACATTTATTATGATGCTGCTGCATAAGTATGGTGATTTTAGATGGAAATTTTATTACAAAGCCATTTTCTATAAGAACTGGTACAATTATAATAAAGCAAAAATCAGTAAATTATACTTTATATTTATAATGTATAAGAAAGTCTATTTCTCCTATACCCCCGCACCCCCATGTCCACACAGTCACAGCTGCTGCTTCAAACTCCACTGAACTGTATTGAAAACACTGTGATTCCTAAAAACAGATATTCCTACAGCAGACGGTGACGCAAACAAAATTAACTTAATTTGATCTGCTGCACCCCTCCACAATGATAGCCCTGCCCCCCTATTTTTGGAACCATTGCATTAGGGGTTCTCTGCTCCTTGTCTTTATCAGTTTGGACATTCTTGATTCCTGAAAAACCTCCAACAGCCGTGCACTACAGGATATAGATTACAAATATATTTTGTGATCAGTCCACGTCTGACAGATGGTTTGAATTGCATTTATATCCAGGACAAACATTCTGATTGTGGCACCTGTAATAAAATAGATAAAAATAATGTTGTACTATATTGATCCCTGTAAGCAGCAGATATGCTGTTACCAGGCTGCCCCTAGCAAGCACTAAGCATGTGGTTTCTCTTGGAATCAAACCCAGGACTTTCTGCGACCAACATGGTGAGGAAGGTGTTCTCAGGATTCACTGTAAATAACTAGTTTTCTGTTTGACTAATTGGAAACTCAAGACACTTATTACCAGACACCAGAATGTTTCTGTGTTAATGGATGTGTGCACCCACAGCCAGGGAATTGACTGACATTCAAGGATGTCTCTGTGCAAACACCAAGGTCTCACTGTTGACTCCTTTCAGTCTGTCCTTAGATACAAAATATGGAGAAATCCCCCTTGAAAGTTTCTACAAATTGCTTCCAGACAATATTTACCCTGGCAGAGACTCAAATCCTTGGAGAAACAATACAAGAAAATGTATATATGTGTGTTTTTCTTGGCTCAACATGAAAGGAAAAAGGGAAGCACCATGTATCAGGATGAGGAAACTGGGTGGTGGGTGTCCTGTCATTTCATGTCCTGTCATGTCATGCTGGGGAAGAAACGTCCTGGTCCTTGGGTGTAATCCAACAACAATGTCATGTTCAGAGATGTATGGAAGTACAACATTAGAGCGACTCCATCCTGACTCAGCCCTACCACACTGTGCGTCCCACCCTGCAGCAGATGCCAGCTCCAGTGTAGGTGCCAAATACGAACGCCATAGTGCAGCTGTTGGTAGGTTGGGGCGGAGGGCTGGAACAGTTTTGAGGTGTTGCCTCATCAGAAACTCCAAGGATTTCTTCTGAAATTATCAACAGCTGGGGTTGTTCCATTAACAACTAGAGCTGGGGTTGTTGTGGAAAGGCTGACTTCAGATGACATTAGCGGCTACAAAGCTAAACCAAAAGATGGATCAAATTAAATTACAGAGGAAATTTGTCATGTTTGCAGCAGTGACTCTGCAGCTGTGGCTGTGAACAATGCATGATAATGTTAGTACGAGCTACAGTCCCAACCACTGATCCATGACACCACAAGGACTACTTTTATTGCCTGCTGGTAGAAACAATAAAAGAATGTTTGATTTTTATTAGAGAGAACATTAGTCTTGTGAAAAACCGCACTGCAATAAACTGTTAGTTTACTTTTGATGAATGCTTTGGGAGCAAGCAGATGTGGGCAACGACAGGAAAATGATCCCCGAGTGTCACATGGTCTTCTCTTTTTGATGGAAGTCGGGGTTCAGACAAACGAACTAGTCGTCAGTCTGACATGAGCGACTGAATCGAAATGAAAACATTCTTTGAAAATCACCTTTTGCATT